TGCGCATCAAAAATAAAGAATGATTAATTTTTTTTGGGGGGATATGCACAAACTATCGGAATTATGTGCGAATTGAATTGAACAGAAACAAAACAATAGCTTATGGGCTGTGGACTGCTCCTTTTTGAAGACCCCAATAGTACTATTTTTATCTCAAGCTGCGTTTGCTTTCTCTCTTACTTGGAAAAACAAAATTAGGTTTTTTGCATAAGCTTAGTTTACAATCTTAGTTTTGACTTATTGAGAGCAAGCGCTTAATATAAATAATTGTAAAGAAGTACAAATTGGACGTGCTTGAAGTTTATGTTAGGCATGTAAAGTTTGTGCGCCTCAACAAAAGTTTAACAAATGTTTGGTTTTGGGACAAAGAACTAAAGCGAATATATGAATTCTTTTGGGGCCGTTCGATCACATAATCTTTTATTACTCAAATATTTGAAGAACAAGAACTTTGTCCCGAAAATGATACCATTTATCGAATTGTAATAGTTGACAAATTCGAGGACTATGCCTTTTTAGAATTTGTAGCATTCTTCAGTGCTATCAGCAATATATCATTGATTTAAAGGCTATGACGATATAATAAATCAGCAGTCGGGCTGCAATCATGATTCCCAGTCTCTTTTGCGGGCAGAAGGTTAACTTTTCTAAAGTTGCTTTGAAAAGAGAGGTTAAATCTACACATTTAAAGTAGTTTGATTCTTGCGGTCAGTTCTCACTACTTCATCTTCTAATCCTTTAAAATGTGCCTCTCAACAAAATGACTTCCTTCTAGAAAATCAAAACCTACGTAAACTGTTCAAAAAAAGTTAACGAGTAGAAATTGCGGAAATCCATTAGAGCGCATCACAGAACAGTACAAAGACCATTCGAGATAGTTTCGATGAAAAAGTCTTGTTAAGAGGAAAAATAATTCCTCATGACGTCAAAAACACAAACTTTGTGTTATATCAATCATAAATATCCTATCATAAATCCATAGTAATTATCTCAAAGTTTGAGAAATCGTCCCAGACGTGAAAAGCAGAAAAAAGGCCAAAATTGATATATATTCTAATAAATCTTGTAATTGCTCTACAAATTTGGTAGGCGGTATTTCATGATGGAAAAGGTCTGTTTTA